TTCAAACCTCTCAACGTACCATCACGTATCCAACTTTTCCCATATTTCCTGTTCCTATTCCTTCTTCTGCCCTAGCCTTCTGAATTCTGTCCTTGGGTCAATGCTGTCTTTTAAAAATATCTTACATGGTTGATTATTCTAAAATGGGAGTGCGTTCAGCGCTAGGCAGGAAGGGTGACTAAGAGCAATCGTCTTAAGCGCCCACCAGGCTCGGTCTGGCCAGTAAGCCTGGTTTCCTTTATGATGTGCGGTCTGTTCCACATGTGTCACCCATTCTGTCCAGGACCTACCCATGTGACCCTTTTCAGAGCGGTGGGTGGGGGAAGCAGGCACCACTTGGGTCTCAGGGTTGTGGAGACTCTTTGCATGGCCCTAGTGCACTGGACTCCTGTTCCCCCCTGTCTTTTGGTTACCATTACTCTTCTTTCCTCTGGATGGAAAGCCAGCCTCAGTACTTCATCAAGACTCTCCAAGGTCACCCAAGGACACGTCTATGTCCTTCCGTTACATGATCAACCAACAGCTCTCCAAAGGTACTTCCTCCTTCTTCACGCTCCCCCACTGGCTGCCAGGGCCTTGACCCCTTCGCTCCCTGTTCTCTACTGGTCTTCCTCATCCCTTTCAGCCCCCGAGTCCTGTCTCCTCTGATGACTGCTCCTCCTGGATCCTGTCTCCTCTGATGACTGCGCCTCCTCTGTGCGATGCAAAAGGGTTTCTCCCCAGGTTGTCTCCCCAAATATATGCCAAACCTAGGACGCTGTTTACTACACATGGTAAATGACTATACACTTAAGGGCAATGCAAGCCGCTTAGAGGTTATTCTCCCTGAGGGTTAACAGCCATCTCCAGCAATCAGACTGTAGAGTCTGTCCCACCCTAAGTAGGGCCCACTCCCTTCTGATAAGGATAGGTTCTCAACCTCTTTCACAGGGGTCGCCCAATTCATAACTAGCAAAATTACAATTATGAAGTAGCAACAAAATAATTTTATGGTTGGGGGCTCACCACAACATGAGGAACTGTATTAAAGGGTCGTGGCATCAGGAAGGTCAAGAACCACTGGGCTAGTGGATTGCCTCCCTGAAGGAGAGCCCAGAGACAAGGTCGAGCCCACTCAAGGGGACCAAGGTTAGGCTGCCACCTTGAGTCTAGAGTCTGCCCTCCCCTTCCTATGTACACCCCTAGCTCATCCCCTTCCTGTGATGTGTATGCCTATTGTATAAACCCTTTCTGTGACATATGTAATTACGTGTAATCAGGGGGGCTTGCATGCCCTAAGTATATATAGGCCTTGGTCAGAAATAAAGAGCCCCACTCTGCTAGCCTCCCCGCCCCCGCTCCTTGCAGACCTGGCTGTTGAGATCCTGGCCGTCCAGGAGGTGAGCATGCTACCATAAAATGTGTCTGACTCCTTTATTTTACTCTCTGTCCTATCTTCTATGACTGTACTATGATCTTTATATATTATCACTGTACAGTTGTGCCTGCGGACCCTGTTATTGTCGGGGCTGGTACCCTGACACTCCCCAGCGCTACCTCAACATGTTAGCATGCCCCATGGCTGATGTGGACGCACTCTTCAGCTCAATCTATTCTTTCTCTTTGTGATTGCATGCATGACTCTAACCCATCTACGTAATAATTACTGACAAATCTCTATATCTCCAGCCATGACCTCTGCCTGGGCCAACTGCTCAGTCAATACTAGGAGCCCAGGTGGTGTAGTGGGGATGTGTTGGGCTGTGATCTGCATGGTCAGCAGTTCAAAACCACCAGTAGCTCCTTGGGAGAAAGACTGGGCTTTCCGTTCCCTTCAAGCAGTTACAGTCTCAGACAGTCATGGGGAGGGGGGGGGTCACTTCGAGTCGGCATTAACTCAATGACAGTGAGTGTGGCTTTTTTGGTTTGGTAACATCACAGATGCACCACCACTGAAATGACTCTTGACAACAGCCCCTCATCCACTCAGCTATGCAAGCCCAAACCCAGGAGTCTTCCACGATCGCCCTGTTCCTCCATCCCTTAAGCCCATCAGCAAGACGGATCCACGCTCCCGCTCAAACCCGGGGCAACTGGAACCCACCTTCCTAGTGACCTTCCCACCGCCACTACCTCTGCGAAGGTCAACACAATCTCTTCCCGGCTCAGTGGGCTCCTCACTGCCTCTCACGTTCCCTCCAATCCACCACAGAAGACCTAAACACGTTGTCAGATCACCCCTCTGCTTCAAATTCTTCAACTGTCTAAATAACCCCAAAGGACCGTGATGCGCTACAGGATGCTAACCGAGCTGACCCTTCCCTGGCGCTCCGGTCTTCTCCTGCTTCTCCTCTGCTCACGGCCTTCCAACGGCACTGGCTTTGAGTTTTCCAAATTAGGACAAAGCTTCATCCTGATAGCTTGCCGTTGTACAAGTAGTTCTCCGGACAGTCTGAGCGGCTCTCCACCTCCTGCCCTCCGTTGTCCTTGGCTCGCTGCTTCATGTTCTCTAGACTCAAGTCAAAACATGATTTCTCCAGTTCCTCCAGCTGATGTACGTCCTCCCTCAGATATGTGCACACCCTGTTCATCACAGAACTATTCATAAGAGCAAGAAGGTTGAAACAATCTAAATGCTCGTCAGCAGGAGAATTGATCAACTTTGGTACATAGACACAATGGAATACTCTGCATCCCATCATATACATACATATACACACATAAACACACACACACACACACATATATAATAATGACATGGTGCAACATCTCCTGACATGGAGGACATTATGCTGAGTGAAGTCAGTCATACACAAAAGGACAAATATTGTATCAAACCACGCACGTTGTCAAAGAAAAAAAATCGGACCGCTGCTGGAGCCATGGGCCGCTCGGGCGGTGAAGGATCCCACGATGGCTGGATGGAAAGTCTCTCTAAAAGCCACTGACGGGATAGCCTTTGGGAGATCATGCTCCGAAACCAAAAGGCTGTTGCCGACTCGCTGAAGTCCTGGAATGAGGGCCTCACCTCCGGGTTGGCAGTTCTCCCCGAGGAGCCTCCAGCTATCGACTGGGCTTACTACGAGGCCAACACGGCCAAGGCCGGCCTAGCGGATGGCTTGGAGAAGAAGTTTAAGGCTCTGAAGACCCCTGTGCCAGAGGACAAGTTTACTGCCCTGGAGGATGCTGACGAAAAGGAAGATGTCAAGACCTGTGCTGAGTCTGTGTCTCTTTCCAAGACCAGGATTGAGGAGTATGAGAAGCAGCTGGGGAAAAGGAGGACCATCATTCCATTTGACCAGATGACCACTGACGGCTCGAATGAAGCCAAGGTAGACAAGACCAAGTATCCTTACTGGTCTCATCAGCCAACCGAGAATTTATAAAGCTGAGTCTGAGCAGACACGCTGGTCATCCCATGAGGAGCTCTGAACAGTAAAAATAAGGATGCTAAAAAAAAGAAAATAAATATATTCATACCAAAAGAAACAGCCTTTGCTGGTGTTCTTGAGCTTCAATGCCTGAGCACTGAGTTTGTGGAAAGCTATGGTTCATAGCGGAAGCCTGGAATCCACTTATGAATTTCCAGAGAAATATGGAGAAGCAGCAGAGCCTTAGGGGACTTGCATCCTGACCGCCTCGGTCGGAGAGCCCTACACCAACTGTGTCCCAGTCACGGTCCATTCCCACTTCTGTGGTCCTGCCTGGGAATGGGATGTATTGACCTGCTGCCCAGCATGCCTTTGTGAAGTTTCCTGGCCCCTCAAGGCTTACTCAAGTCTCCAGTTCTCCGCAAAGCCTTGAAAGTCATTCCAAACTCATGCTAATGGTCTCCTTCAACCAGATGATGTGTTCTTGTCTTGTCTTTTCCTGTTTAAGACTTAATAAATGTTCTTTTTAGGTTATATTTGGGATTTGAGGGTCTCTTTTCTATCTGAAAACAATGGTTACCAGGCGTGGGGTGGGATGGAAACAATCGGCTACGGAGTAGACAGGCACTAACTGGGGGCAGGGGGAGATCATACTCTACCAGAGGAGGGGAAAAGAGGGGAGGAATAATGGAAACTAAGGGAGGTGTGATAATTTGTTTACACTGTTGAATAAGAAAAGGATCTGGAATGTAAATCTCACCTAGTTAGGTGTATGTGTGTTTTTAAACTATGGTGCTTTTTTATGCCCAGTCTCCTTCAGAGTACTACCACAATCACCAATTTATTTCTCATTCTGTTTTGACCAGGGCTCATCTTAAAAGTGTTAGGCCAAAGGGCAAGGCCCAGTCCTGTCCATCACTGTCTCCAGCGCCGACACCATACCTAGTGCGGTCGATTCTGATTCACAGCGACTGTACAGGACAGGGTAGGACTGCCCTTGTGGGTTTCCGAGACTAACTCTTTACAAAAGAAAGCCTCGTCTTTCTCCAAGGGCGCAGCTGGAGGTTTTGAACTGCTGGTCTTGAGCTTAGCAGCCTCACACGTAACCCACTTTGCCACCAGGGTTCCTTAGTACGGAGCAGACACCCGTATATTTGATGCATTTGTGTGTCTCAGAATCTTACACACAGTGCTTCATTTAATCGTGCAATTATTTTAAAAAGATAACGATCTCTTTGTGCGAAGACAAGTAAAGCTAGTGAATAAACTAGTCAGAATCCCAATCTGTCAATAAGAGACCTTCACTCTATGTACAAGATTTCGGGGAACCCTAACGTACAGAGCAAGGCCGGAATAAAACTGGGAACTGAGAGCCTATCACCTCAATAGCGAGCCAAGCTCCCAGAAGGCACAGCGCGCAGGCGTGCGGCCAGACGACTCAGCAGTCCCGGATGCCGGAAGAAGGGCCGGAAACTACGTTTCCCAAAAGCCTCCGTAGGACGTCGCCGGTTGGCGTGATGACGTGAGGAGGGACGCTGGCGCGCGGGATTTAAACTGCGGCGGTTACGCGGCGTTAGGCGTTCGTGCGTCCCGCAGGGTCGTGGGTTCTGCTACTCGGCGTGCCTCCTCGCGGTTCACCCTCCGTGCCCCTATGGACTCCTCGCTTCCGAGCCGGCTCTTCCCGGGCCTCTCCATCAAGATCCAACGCAGTAATGGTGAGGGGCGGGGCCCCAAGTCCGAGGGGGCCTGTGGGCGGTGAGACGGCTGCAGTGACAGGGTCGCGGGTCAGAGTCGGCCGCGCTGGCTCGTGTCTTCCGGACCCTGTGGGGCCCCTCCTCCGGAATGGGGCGGCTCCCCCGCGGCCCTTGGACATCCCAGACAAGTGAGGGCTGCCAGACCCCCCTCCCTCCCCAGGCCCCCTGCACCTGCCTCTGCGCGTGGAACGGAAATGGGCTTCCACGTCCCAGTGACCGGTCCGCGCTTGCAGCCTGGCAGGCAGCGGGCCAGACGGACGAGCTCCGTGTTCTTAATCCCGTCTTGTCTGGGACGAAGCAGCGCTGCCGCTGAGTGGCCTTGGGGGCGTGATCAGACAGGGAGGGGCCTCCCCCTTGGGGGAGCCCCAGAGGGCTCGCTTCAGTGCTGTGTGGAGGTCCCGGTTACCTATCGGGACTCCCCTGGGCCCTGAAGCTCCCTTGCGAGACCATCGCCCTGCCCCTGCACTGTGGCTGCTGCTGAGGGCAGCCCCTCCCCCGCCGAGGTTTATTGGTCTCTGGTGTTTAATGAATGGATGCCAGGCTTGGGAACGATTGCGGCCATGGCACAGGGTCGCTATGGGTCAGAACGTACCCGAGGGCACCCAACAACAACGAAAGCAGGCCAACTACCCCTCCATCCAGTGACACCTACGGAGAGCCCCTGGGATCCTACAACGGAAGTGGCAGCCCTGCGGCGACAGCTGGGTGACCCTGGCCTTTCCCCGCTGCAGGTTTGATCCACAGTGCCAACGTAAGGGCGGTGAGCAAGGAGAAAGCCTGTGTCTCCGTGGAGTGGATAGAAGGAGGTGCCATCAAGGGCAAAGAGGTAGGTTTTGAGAGCTTGCTACTTCCTGCCTGCAGAGTGTGGACATGGGCCTGGGCGATGATGAACAGGCTCATCATTTCCTTCCTGCTTGTTCTGTTCCACCCTCTCGGGTCCCTGCCCCCTCCCATGCTCATCTTTGTTTTAAAGGAGTTGTTGGCTTTATTTTTTTTAGGAGCCACAGGACTTAGGGTGCTATTCATTATTTTGTGAGCCAATCTGTTAGTTAGCTATACGTACGGTGACTGACTTGGGGGCTTGTTCCTGGGTAGGGTTTGAAGAACAGCTCAGGTCCGGGGGCAAGGGAGAGGGCGCGATCCTTCAGTGTCAACTAATCTACTAAGTCTGGGTTCTTTTTTGGTGATAGTTTATTTTTTTTTTTTTTTTTAAGGAATTTGATATTCTTGTTTCACAGCTGCCTTCCATTCTGACAAGACCCATCCATGTGGTTCTGTTAAGGACTCTCAGCAGTGCTGAGCAGGCTCCATCTGGTTCTCTCGGGAGACGCTATCAGCCGCTTGTGCTGTTTATGAAGAGCAAACTGCACACAGTCCTATAGTTTGCTTAATTAGGCTAGCTTACGGGGGGCACACTACTTGTAGTATTTGGGGCACAAAATAGGTAAGCCAGTTGAGACAAAAATTTGTTTCAACTTGTAAATTGGGTGAGTAGATCACTGGTTTTACATTCATCAAAACCTTGCTTCCGGGATACAACAGAAAGCAACTTGTCAGGAGTGGCACAGGGGAGTGCTGGGGCAGCGCAGAGGTGGGGGCTTGAGGGCTGAGCTACTATAAAGCAAGAGGATGGCCCACCAGGGACTGGTGCTGAGGCCTCATCGTGGGGACTCAGGGTGCTGGAGAGTGGCAAAAAGGCTTAAAAAAGAGACTGAGGCAGTCTTCATTTCTAGTACTGTTATTTCGATTTCCATTGGGTCGTGTTGTGTGTTTTGTTTATAAAAGAGAAATAGCTGTATTGTCTCCTGTTGACGCAGTGGCCACACCAGTGGGCTCAAACATAGCCAAGGTTCTGAGAGCGGCTCAGTCTACCGTACACAGGGTTGGTGTGCTCTGGAATGAATTCGGTGGCACTTCACAACATGCCGTCTGGATTTGGAGTGCAGGCAGGGGCACGCTCTCCGGGGCTCTGTGGACCGAGCCTCTCTGGGCTCTCAGATGGTCAGCCCCAGACATTGCTTGGTGTGCCGGTGCAGCATCACTCCCTGGTCGCATGGCCTTGCCCTCTACCTGAGATGCTTAGATTGTATCTGTAGACAGCAGGGAACCTCGGCAGGCCTTTGAAAGAGGAGGGGCATTTCTTTTGTAGCGGTGCCGGGTATCATGAAAAGGTCACCAGACTAAAGAGCTAGGCCCCGTGGATTCTCTCTGGCACCGCCACTCAAGCAAACTCTCCACCTCTCAGAAATGGAGTTGCCTCATCTGTAAAGTAAGGATGCAGTAACAAATCCTGTAGGGATCTAGATATTCAGGCCTTTGGCAAAGTGCCAGACAGTGTGTTGGGGCCAAGAGGAGCCCTGGGGTGTGCAGTGGGTTACTGGTTGGGCTGCTGACTGCAAGGCCAGCTGTTTGAGCCTACCAGCCATCGGCAGGAGAGAGATGAGACTTTCTACTCCTGCAAAGACGTTCCGTCTCAGAAACGCACAGGTTTGCTGTGAGCCGGAATCGACTCAATGAGAGTTTGGGTTTTGAGTTTGTGTTGAGTCCCAGGGATACAGAGGCAACTGAACCAATCTAGTCCCTCTTTCATGGAGTGTCGTGTGGTAGAGAATGCCAATACTATATTTTATTCAACAAACGAAGACAAGACTGGGATTTATACCAGCTGCTCCTAAAGAATACAGAGGTTCCTCCCGGCTATCAAAAAAAAAAGCACTTTGGAGCCTGAAAGGCTTGTCCCCAGACTAACAGCCATCTCAGAGAGGCATCAAGTAAATCCACATGGAAGAAGCACAACAGCGGTTTGATTCAAGGATGATAAATAATAAAGTTCACATTGAGAAGGGAGTGATGTCAGAGCTTACACTGTGAGCGCATGACGACAGCGCAAGCAGAGCCCATGTGCAGGGCCCCCACCTGGATGGAGCTGCCGGTGAATGCCGTGACCAGTCGGGGGATGTGAATAGCCTGGCCATCAGAGAGCATGATGAACTTGACAGTGGCAGATGTAATTTGATTAAAATGTAGTATTTTATCTTGGATCTCCCTGACCCATTTAAAACTTATTCTAGTGTTTAATATTTCCTGCTTTCTTTTCAGTTGCGGTTCTTTCTGGCTCATCTTGTTTTTGTTGTTGTGCTTGCTGTGTAAGTGAGAGGGGTTCAGGATAGGAAGTCTAGAGAGACAGTAACTGGATTAATGGCTTATTGGGGTAGTGGAGAGGAGGTTGGAGGGACTAAGGACAAGGAGGAAGAAAATACTCTTGAACAGATATGGCTTTAATGTGAGTGAATGAATGATTGAAGTGGTCTGTGAATTATAAGTCAGTAAAACTAGTTTCGGAATCCAGAGAGAGGTTCCTAAAATTTCTTTTCAACCAACTACGAGCTGTTCTTTGAGAGTTTGGTTGGTGTTTCCTGTGGAGCTCCTGCTGGGTCCCACAGCAGCTCCATGACTGCCTGGGAGGAGCTCCGGACCTCGGTCAGCCTTCTGCTTGGCATCTCACCCTTTTCTTCTGAGGGGTCAGTGACTGGGGCAAGCAGGGCTGCCCGCAGCTCTGTGAGCCAGCGGGGTACCCTGTGTTGCTTCCATACTTTGACCCTTGTTCCTTAGTCCCAGCGAGACCGTCAGCTCATGTCAGTGCGAGCATCAGTTAACTGTCAGAGCTGGGGCTGGGACTCGGCCCCTGTGCCACTGGCTGTCCGTCGTTGGGAAGGGAAGCTGTAGAGAGGGGTCTGCAGCTACCGATGGCATGTGGCCATTGTACGATGGGGGAGTGAGCCATTCGCCAGCGTTTGCATTTGGTCCCTCTTGCCCTCTGTCTTATCCCGTGGTGCTTTGGCTCAGCCCTTGGTGCATAGGCCTCCCCTCACCGATGTGAACCCCCTGAGGGCACGGGCGAGGACGGCTCTGTTCATCTTTGAACGGCGCTGCTCGAAGGACCAGTTAGTAGATATTGTGGAGGGACAGCCTCACCCTGGAGAGCATTTGCTCCCCTCGGTGTAGAATACAGGTGATCGAGCTGGTCCTGGTGTTGATGGAACCTGCTAATGGAGTAGTTCCCTAGATTGCTGCAGGACTCTGATGATGTAAACCCAGGATTGTGACCTCATTGTGAGCAGGAAGCTGTGCTGGGAAAGAGGTTTTGGGCCCCGTAGAAAATGTAGGCAGACTTAGGAATTAGGTCCCAGCTGTCGGGAACTGGTCCCGTAAGATCCTGCAGGGTCTTCCTTCTTGACCCTCGCTGGGACAGTTAGAGCGTTGCCAGCAAGAGGTGCTGCAGGGCTGGGCCCAGCAGGCCCCCAAGCGCAGGGAGCCAGGGGCCGAGCTCCACTGTGGCCTCCCTGCCTGCCCGTACGTGCTGCTGGCCACCTCTTCCCATCGCGGACGGCAACTATTGGCTTGGAAATCAGAGACTTAGATCCATCTAGATGGTAAGCCGTGACTAAGAAAGGGCCGTGGGTTGATTTCGTAGCTGTTCACCTTGGCAAGTCTGAATCCAGAGGTAGCCTCGTGTCTTAGCTGCTTAGTGCTGCTCTAATAGAAGTACTGCAAGTGGGGAACTTCAACTTGCATATTCATTTTCTCAGATTAGCAATTGAGGCTCTACGAGGTTTCCTCTGTCTGTCCTGAGGGACTTCCTTTGTCTTCCCATGGCATCTTTGCCCCAGCTTTGTCTTGGTTTCTCTCTGTGCCTTGTGAGCTCTTTGTATCTGGGAAGTGATTGACTTCAGACACACCCTACCTTGACAGGGTCTCTTGGGCATAACAGAGAGAGCCCCGCGCCCTACCAGGACTGTGTGCAGCGGTAGCAGGGTTGGGCCTTACAACACGTCTCTGAAGGGCACAGTGCGCAGAAATAAATGCGGCTTGAGCGGCTGTGATGTCATCCCCCTGAAATTTGCCCTTGCTTCTTGTAGATTGACTTCGATGATGTGGCAGCAATAAACCCAGAGCTCCTGCAGCTTCTTCCCATACTCCCGGACGACCACCTGCCCCTGAAGGAGAATGTAACGGTCCAGGTAGGTGCCTGCCTGCCGTCTGGTTCCCGCCCCCAGAAGGCTCACTCACCTCGTTGGCCGGCTGGGTTGTTTTCTGGTACTTTCCTGGGTTTATGAGCAAAGTATTTGGGCCCCAAGTAAACGAAACCGCTGCTCTCGAGTCCACTCGTGCCCAGCGACCCTACAGACAGAGTAGAACTGCTCCGTGGGTTTCCAGGTCGTGGCTCTGCGGGAGGACGAAGCCTCTTTCTCCCTCAGAGTGGCTGGTGGTTTGGAACTGCTGACCCTGGGGTTTGCAACTTAACAAGTAACCCACTACACCACCAGGGCTCCAGGTGGGCCCATCAGAATTGAGAAGGGCTGTATATCGTGGTGGTTTGTTTTGTTTTTCAGAAACAAAAACGCAAGTCGGTCAACTCCAAAATTCCTGCTCCAAAAGAGTGTAAGTGGATTTCTCCTGGCTTGTGCTCACGGGGTTTGTGCCCGGATGATGTGGACGAGGCTCATTGCTCTAGCCTGGCCAGGGGCTTGCTTCCATGTGGGTGGAGTCCTTTCTTCTGTTCCAAGCAGCTCTTCTGTGAGGAAGACTCTCCCTTCAGCTGTTAGGCCTAGAAGGCTTTCCTGTCGAATCCAGAGCCGGGCGCTGGCCTGCAGGTCCGCCCTTGGCAGCCGAGCTGGGCTCAGTGGTCTCAAGAGCAAAGTGTGCCTTGGAGTGAGGTTAGGCTTATTCAGAGAGAGAGGTGCCGTTGACGGTGTTATGTATGGAGAGCTGGTTGGTTTGGGGAAAGAGACAAACACAGGCAAGCAAACAGCCCCGCCTCTAGGTCTGTGATTGGGTTGGGCTTTCCCTGCAGAATGAGTGACTGTGCTCCAACTTTGCATACAGTAGATTGACTACAGGGGTGGCTTTAAGCACACACTGTCCACGAAATCCAGCTTGCCACGCAGAGCCAGCCATACCTTGCAGGTCGGTGGGTCTGCATGGTCTGTCCCAGTCCTGATCCAGCTACCTCCGAGGCCCGATGAAGACTTTCAGGGTGGACAGTGGAGCTGTTCCCAGTCTGGGCAGTCCCTGAGGGGTGCGGTGCCACCCCACATGCATGTCCTCAAAGGAGCTTGCCACAGCTCCTCTGAATGGACACCATCTTCATCAATGTGCATGCGATCTGGTGGTAGACTTGAAATACACAGAGTCATTGAGGAAATACGGAGACATGTGCAAATTCAAGCCATTTATAAAGGACACTCATGCTAGGCCAGGCATTCAGCCTAAACTGGCAAGATGGGATCTGCCTCTGCCAGTATTCATCTCCACCTTTCTGACTTGGGTATTATAGATGATGAGTGGTTTGCTTCTCCGTTTTGGAGGTGAACTATTTACATTGGTAGAAATGCATAAAAATCAAGTGTAACTCGATAGTTTCTCTTGGTTCAGCAACCTTCAAGAGTCCAGAAAAAGCATTGTAGCTGATCATCATGGGTGTCCGATACTGTGGTGCAGGCCTGCTCTGTAAAGCATTCTGGGGCTGGGTTGAGTGACATGAGGCCAATTACTGAATATCTCTGTGCCTTAGTATGTCCTGTGATCAGGTGGGAATGCTGGTACTCACTATCGGTTGTCTTGAATATAGACCAGCTGTCTGAGCCATGGTAGCTGTTGCTGCTGCTGCTAAGAATAATCATGCTTGTTCTCTCCAGCCTGGGCTGAGGTCTGTCTCTGTAGAAATTACTCAGCTTGGTTGTGGGTCCCTACCTCTACTCACGAGAGATGCTCTTGTGGGGTACATTCCTGCCCTCAGGAGCTCCCCGAGTTGCAGAAGATGGACAAAGAAGTCTGAGGGTACTGGTATTGGGCCTTGTCCATTTTTCCTCCCTTTGGGTGGTGAGGAGGGGAAGTTGATGGGCCCCTTTCCAGGTAGCAGGACCCATCTTCCACCCTGTGGGGAGCCTTGGCGAGTGGTCCCTGGCCCACCGGATCCTGCTGCACTGACTGGCTGCTGCTCTTGGCTCCTCAGCTGTCCGTGGCCGCTCGACTCGAATGTCCACCGTCTCAGAGGCTCAAATGACCAGTCAGGAGAATGAGATGGAGGTGGAGCTGCCTGTGTCTGTGAACCCCCTCAAACAGCTTTCAGTTCCTGGTGAGTACTGGCTCTGCTCACCCTGCCCCCACCCTGCCCTCCTCCCGAAGGGCCTGGGCTTCCTCCCCACCTCCCTTCAGGGCTGTTCTGACCCCTCTTCTCTGGAAATGGCTTGGTGTTGTGGTTTGTGCAGGCAGAGGCGTGCACTGCGCACTGGACTCTCACCAGAAGTAGCAGCAGTCCAATGAGAACAGCAGTCAGTGCTCCAGAAGCCTCCGCAGGCCCGCCCAAGCCTGACTCGGCAGCAGCAATTGGCTTTTCTCTCTGTACTTTATGTAAATAGAATTTTAAAGTCTGTTAAGTAAACTGCATGTAGCTTTTAACAGACGTGTGAAGTAGGCACAGATTTTGTAAGATACATAAATCATTACTTACATGTATCAAACTCAGCTCTTAAAAAAGAAAAACGAAAGGCCGTCGCCAGGTATGGGGAGGGGTAGACATTGCAGATTAATTATACCTTTGTGTTGGCTCTGTGGGGCTAGCCATTAATTAAGTTCCCTGTCCTTCTGGCTTTTTAATCTGCTACTGTGGGCTGCCTGGGTGCCCGAGACTTAGCGGTCAGTCAGGAAGGCCTCAGATCCCGTGCTTGGTACCAGGGCCCCCCGCACCCCAGGCTTACCTTTCATGGTGAAGCGCAGACTGAGCCCCTCACACTCCTTAATGATCCGGCAGCCCTCGCGCAGCCTGGGTTGGTTCCACACGCGTGTGAGTCCAGGTGGGGAGCCCCAGCTCTGCTTGTGCTCCACGACCCGAGCCCCGCTGCCAGCCAGCAGCCCTCCTCCTGCCTGTGAACGAACCCCGTGCCCGCTGCTTCCCCAATGAGTTGTGTTCTTCGGTAGCTGGTCCCCCTCGGCCCTCCTGCCCTGCCGTGGCTGAGGTCCCACTGAAGGTGGTCAGCGAGGAAGTGGAAGAGCAAGTTCGTGCCATCCGAGGCAACGCTTCTGCAAACCCCGTGAACTCAGGTAGACTGGGTAGTCGCCATCCTGCCTTGGCACCTGAGTCCACGTCCCTCGTGGTCAGAGAGGCACGCACAGTCCCTGTGCTCCTGGCAGCAGCGAGCCCACGAGCAAGGGTTCCTCAGAGGGCTCCATCCTCGCAAGCTGGCAGAGGCCTCTCGACGTGGCTGCTGTCGTGCCACGGGCAGGCTCTGTCTCAGTCCCCCCGCGCGCACGGGTGCGTGAGCACGCGGCCACTACTCTGACTTCACCGTGGATTAGCCAGGCCATAAGCACCTCTGTTGTTCCTTCCTGGAGCATGGCAGTTTGGGAGCAAGGCCTAGGGAAGGCCTGTGTCTGGGAGAGGCCTGGGCGGGACTCGGCGATGCCGGACCAGTGAGAGAGCAGGCTTCCTGTTTCCTCTAGTTCGGAGGAAATCGTGTATCGTGAAGGAAATGGAGAAAATGAAGAGCAAGCGCGAAGAGAAGCGGGCCCAGAACACGGAAACGAGGATAAAGCGAGCTCAGGTGCCTGCCGGGGCGCTCGGCACGGGTTTGGAGACCGCCATCTTCCGCTGAATTCTAACAGGCATCGCGAGGCCCCGGCATTTCTGAGGCTCCGGTTCTGATACCCAGAAGGAGTCTAATTAGTTAGTCGTCAGGGTGCAGAGACAAACTACTGAGGTGTTTTTCTGAAGGCCCTCAGATGGCAGAGATTTAATATCGGCTGTCCCACTAGGCTAAGGTGACCAGACGTCCCGCTTTTGGTGGGACAGTCCCGATTTTTGGAAAGAATGCATGACAAGCTAGGGAATGGTCTATTTGGTCCATATAGACCAAATTTTAAATCAAGAATCTGACCCCCGGTCGGTGGTGTCGCATTTTAAATCTGGTCACCTCACGCTAGGCAAGCGCATGGCATAGCACAGCGGCCAGAGAAGCCCTGCCCAGCTGCTGTGTGTGGGTGGGGAAGGGGTGCCGCATAGAGTTCCAGTTAGGGATATTTCTTCTCCATATGAGTAAGTGCTAGCCTCCTAGCAAGTGGGAACGTGCCCCTGCCCGAGTTCCAAAGGTGGTCTGCTGCCTAGGTGCACATCCCCACCCCCAGCAAGCTCGGTTCTCGGGTCCTCAGCCTGGAGCCAGGGTGCTCCGAAAGGCCATGTGCACCCAAAGAGCAGAGATGGGGGTCTTTAGCACTTACATGGTTTGCTGTGCCCCAAACAGGACTATGACAACAGCTTTCCACACTGGGAATTTGCCCGGATGATTAAAGAATTCCGGACTAATTTGGAATGCCATCCGCTTACCATGACTGATCCTGTAAGTAAATCCACAGGGCTTCTGCTTCTGTCCCAGGCTTCTCACTCGCCCTGGGGTTTTTAAATGCCCTTGGGTGGGCTGGAGCTGGCAAGGCCCAGGTGGGAAGGCCCTATCTTTACCACCTCTGTGCCCCCTCCCCTCGGCTTCCAGAGGGCGCCTAGATTCTTCCTAATAATTAAATCATGGAAGTTGTGCCAGAGCCTCCTGTGAGCAGCAGAGAGAGTGCTGGGAAGAAATACTAGGAGGAGCTAGTGAGAGAGGGAGAGCGGGGGTCCGAGCCTTAGCTTGCAGCCCCTGACTGGACCAGACACAGGATGGGGGCCCAGGAGTTCCAGAAAGGCTTTCTTTTGACATTGCTCTCTCCGTGTGCTGCTCGGCTGTCCTCCTCGCCTCCCCTGTCCAAGATCGAAGAGCACAGGATATGTGTCTGCGTTAGGAAACGCCCGCTGAACAAGCAAGGTGAGTCCATGCAGTCAAAGACTTGGGACTGACTAAGGGGGGGTCCTCTGTCCGGGAGCCCCCTGAAATACTCTCTTCCTGCAGAACTGGCCAAGAAAGAAATTGATGTGATCTCCGTCCCCAGCAAGTGTCTCCTCCTGGTCCACGAGCCCAAACTCAAGGTGGACCTCACGAAGTACTTGGAGAACCAAGCGTTCTGCTTCGACTTCGCCTTTGACGATACTGCTTCGAATGAAGTGGTTTACAGGTTAGGCCCTAGCGTTCCGCCCTTCTTCTGCCCCCTCTTTGTGATGTCTGAGGCGTGTGATCCCACTTCTCACGGACGTAGTGGACTCTGAGGGCCTCTCTGGTCCCTCGGTGTTTTCTTTGCCACCCATCACCGAGAGGCAGCTCTGACTATCTGCCCAGGGAGGGCCTCGTGTGGATCTCAAGGAGGTGCTGGGGCCAGGCTTCTCCCCCTGTCTTATCGCACAACCCCCCACGAACCTCGCAGACTCAGGAAATTCTAGCGCTGTCTGGGGTGGCACCCATTGGCCGCAGGTGCCTGTTTGAATATGACCAAGGCCTGGAGCTTGTCACGTGGAGGGCCGTCCAGACCGCCCAGTTGCTGGGAGCATTCCCGGTTTGCACGTAGGAGGGGCACGTTGCCCCAAGACTCCAGCAGCAGGAGAGGAGCCCCTGCTTGGAAGGAGGACTTGCGTGCCCTGGAAGTTCTGTAGTGGATCGTGGAGGAACCCCTTCCAGGGGCGCATTGTGAGAGCTAAAAGCAGCTTCCCCGTGGGACCTGAGGGCTCAGCACCATGGCCTTGGGGGACATGGACTGACGTAGCATAACCCACAAAGACTGCTGGGTATCCTACCGTGGTGAGCAGCAGCCAAGGTGCAACGATTGCTCTCCCCATCCGGTGGGAAGAAGAGGACTGAAACTGAAGCACCTGGGACCCTGTAGTCCAGCCCAGGGGCATCAGTTTCCATGACCCGAGACCACCACTACCAGCTGCTCCCTAAGGGGTCCCGGGTCGTGAAGGAGAATGTGGACAGGAACTCAAACCATGAAAAGATGAGGCTTACGGGTCAGATAGAGACTGGCCCTTCATCACCCAAACAATAGACGGGAGGCCGAGGGGGGCAGTAGCACCCTGGAGCAGCGTCCAGAAAGGTGAGGGAAGGAGGGGTAGAAGCAGGGACTGCGGGCGGACGTGTCCTCTAGCAGTGTGCGGTCAGTGAGAGGAAGCAAAGTGGACGGGATTGTTGAACGGAAAGCTGATTGGCTCCGCAAGCCGCCACTCAGTTCATAATGAAATCGACTTTCAACACCGCCCCTCCCTCCTAGGTACACAGCAAGACCGTTGGTACAGACAATCTTTGAAGGAGGAAAAGCAACCTGTTTTGCATATGGCCAAACAGGAAGCGGCAAGACACATGTGAGTATTCAGGCCTGGCAGGGAACACGCCCGCCCGGGCACAGGCCCTCCTCGCCAAGACTCCCACCCCGGAAGGCGCTGCCGTTCCCACGGTCATTTGCGTCGTCCTCTCCTTTGCAGACGATGGGCGGAGACCTCTCGGGGAGAGGCCAGAATGCAGCCAAAGGGATCTACGCCATGGCCTGTGAGTACTGTGTTTGCTGCAGCCGGCGGCCCTGCAGAGGCGGCTGGCCTGCTTCTCCATCCCAGCTCTTTCCCACAGCCCGGGACGTCTTCCTCCTGAAGAGTCAGCCTCGCTACCGGAAACTGGGCCTGGAAGTCTACGTGACGTTCTTTGAGATCTACAATGGGAAGGTAGCTAGCAGGGAGCCCTCTGTTGATGCGCTCGGGGCTGCTGAACTTTCTGAAGCCTTGAGGTTGGCTCGCAGCGCCTGAAGCCAGCCCACCTGTCAGCCGAGGGTTCTGCCGGGTCTGCCCCTGGCGCTGCGTGTGTTGACTAGAGGAACATCCAGGGAGACTCATACGTATAGGAACAGCTTTGTGTAAAAGATCAATTGTATATTGAGGAAACAGCCCAGTCCAGAGCGAGTCTATAACTCCAATATTAGCCCAGACACCGGGCTATAAATTCCTCTTTAGACTCATGCAACCCATGCAATGAACGCCAAATGCAGGAAGATCATAAGCCAGTGGGTGGAAAGTCTTAGAGACCCTGTGGTGATGGAAGCATCTCAGCACTGGCGTGGGTCTCCATGTGGTTCCTCCGGCTCCAGGGCTCTGGCTCCAATAGTGTAGCTCCATGTGGCATGTCTGGCCTCCAGTGAGCTATTTATCGCTTATGCTTCCAAATGAGGTCATCAAGCTGTGTCCTGAATGTCGGGCTGCGGCAGCATCCAAACTCAGCAAGTGTGGCTGGGATGCCGCGCAGGGCGCCCTCTCGGAGGGAAAGCTGCCTTGGGTGCAGTCTTCCCCTCCTGCCTGACTCCTAGTGTAAGGTGACCAGATGTTAACATTGGTAAAGCGGGACAAAAGCGGGACACCATTGATAAAACTCATATCCTGGCGAAATAGCCGTATAGCAGCCGAAAACCTCGTGCATTCTTTCCAAAAACGTGACTTTTTTAAACGCTGCGGGACACGTGAAAAATTGTGAAAAAGCGGGCCGTCTGGTCACCTTACCCTAGTGCTTTCCCTGCTCTGCAGCTGTGCTTACCCAGCATCTGCCTCCGCTGCCTGCAGCTCAGTGCTTCCCAGGGCCGCCGTGCCCGGCAGGGCCCTAGACCACAGCGAGCGTTGATCACCGGCTAACCATTTTGGAACCCTAGTGGCGTGGTGGTTACGTGTTGGACTGCTAACTGCAGGGTCGATCGTTAGCTGCTCCTTGGCAGAAAGACGAGGCTGTACTCCTGTAAGCAGTTACCGTCTCAGAAACCCACAAGGCAGTTCTGCCCTGTCCTAGAGGGCTGCTGGGCGCCGGCCTCCTCTCGATGCAGGGAGCTTAGTGTTTGGGGGTAGGGATTAGCATCACTGTTCACGGGCGAGAGACAGGCCCTGCACGGTCGGGTGACGTGCTCAGGCTCGCAGCCAGTCTAGGAGCAGTCTCTCAGCGAAGGGAGGCGGCCAGGTTCTGCTCCCGCTACGACAACCTTCCCTCGTCTGGCACCTGCCTCCCCGCAGTCTGCCCTGTCAGCAGGGGAGGCTTGAGGGAGGGCGGTGTCAGGTGGGATGCCCGATGCCACCACCACCCCCCCTCCCTGACCGCACAGGTGTTCGACCTGCTCAACCAGAAGGCCAAGCTGCGCGTGCTGGAGGACGGCAAGCAGCAGGTGCAGGTGGTGGGCCTGCAGGAGCACCCGGTGAGCTGTGCCGAGGATGTCATCAAGATGCTGGACGCAGGCAGCGCCTGCAGGTCAGCGGGGAGGGGGCACCTTCCCCCAGCTTGGGGAGGGCGCGATGACCCCGCCCCATCAGCACACGTCTGACAAGGCAGGTGCCATTCCCAGGCTCTGGCCCCAAAGGCACCTGTCCTGGCTTCTCTGGACTTCCTGCTGTCCCCTCCCGCTTGTTGGAAGAAATGAGTCCTGGGTCTGTTCTGGCCTGAAGTAACAGGCCATCGCTCCTGCACAGAGGCGGGGAAGTGCTCTCCTATAGTGCCCAAGGCCTGGGGTCCGCTGTGGCAATGAGGCCAGCTTGTCCCGGAGACTAGGCAGGGCTGCCTCTGTAGGACCCTAGCCGTTCATTCTGCACTGCTTACCGGGCTCAGGGTCCAGGGCTGCTTGAGCCACGGGGAGACCTGTTAGCAGGGGCCAGGAAGGGAGTCTGGGTCCCTCCCTCAGCAGAGAGCCCCTGCTGCGGTGCGAGGAGGCCGCCGACCCCAGGGCCTCACCACCTCTCTCTGCTCTCCTTTGCACAGGACTTCTGGGCAGACCTTTGCCAATTCCAACTCTTCCCGCTCCCACGCCTGCTTCCAGATTCTTCTTCGAGCCAAAGGGCGCGTGCATGGCAAGTTCTCTTTGGTGGATCTGGCGGGGAACGAGCGCGGCGCAGACACTTCCAGCGCTGACCGGCAGACCCGCATGGAGGGCGCAGAAATCAACAAGAGTCTCCTGGCCCTGAAGGTAGTGGCCACAGACCCCGGGGGCTGGAGGGAGTCAGTCACGGGAGAGGAGGGGAGGGACCAGGTTTGCTTCTGCCGCCCCCAGGAGTGCATCAGGGCCCTGGGACAGAACAAGGCTCACACGCCATTCCGAGAGAGCAAGCTGACCCAGGTGCTGCGGGACTCCTTCATCGGGGAGAACTCGAGGACCTGCATGGTGAGTCGCTTCCCCGAGGGGAGGGGCTGCTGCTTTCCAGGGGGACGGTAGGCCACCCTCACCCTGCCCCTCAGCACCGACCGCCTCAGGACCTCCCCCGTCCCTGTGTGCGAGGTGCAGGAGGCCCTTCCCCCTTGCCTGGTGAGACAGGGCCTCCCAGATTCAGAAGGACCTTTGGGGAATCTGGCTTCCTGGGCGGGTTCACCTGGCCCCAGGGTCTCTGTTGTCCTGCCCTCAACACCCAGCCACGCCACCCTCCAGATGGCCTCCTGGTCTTCGCATGAGAAGCCTGGACAAGCAGGGGTCCCGTTTCTTAAGGCGCAGGGGGAGCCGAGTGAGGGTGTGGGCAGCGTGAAGAGGCTGCTCAGGCTCCAGCAGCAGACTGTCTGGTACCCGGGCCTGCTGGTCCTCTCCCCTTAACTCCCCATTGCCTCTTGCAGATCGCCATGATCTCACCAGGCATAAGCTCCTGTGAATATACCTTAAACACCCTGAGATACGCAGACAGGTACTAGGACCTGGCCCCCCACACACGAGGGGATTGCAAGGGGCTCTGGGGGAAGGGGTGGCAATGGCACGAGGTGACCGGCTCACTGACCCCAATTCCCCTGAGCGCTGCGTGGATCAGCCCGTGAAGGCCCCGCCCAGCCAGCTTCAGTGGGCACCGGCCCTAGGCTGCAGGAAAGTTGCAGCCCCGTCCCCTGCAGCCTGTCTGAGTGGGGCTGGACCCCCGGAGTGCAGGCCAGGAGGTGGTGTGGGACTTGCGACCTTGTATCCTCAGGGTCAAGGAGCTGAGCCCCCACAGTGGGCCCATTGGGGAGCAGCCAATCCAGATGGAAACAGAAGAGACGGAAGTCTGCTCCAACTGCACCCTGAGCTCAGGCAATGTAAGGGGCAGTGGGGCCAGGGAGGCCGCACGAGGTCTGCTCAGGTGGGAACTTGGCCACAACCGTGTCTCCCCTTTGGTCCACCTAGTTCTCCAAGGACGAGGAGGAGCTGTCTTCTCAGATGTCCAGCTTTAACGAAGCTATGGCCCAGATCCGGGAGCTGGAGGAGAAGGCCATGGAGGAGCTCAGGGAGATCATCCAGGTGGGGCAGGGCCCTAGCCAGTGAGGGACCAGGGGCCAGCTCTGTGCTCCACACTGCTCCTTGATGACAGGAGGCAGCAACCCTGTGAGCCAACTGTCTCTAGGTTTCTCAGACTGTAACTCTTCACAGGAGTAGAAAGCCTTATCTTCAGCCTGTGGGTTCAAACTGCTGGCTTTGTGATTAGGAACCCGTCAGGCTCTCAGGGCACCTTCCCTCTGCTGTCGTCTTCACTCATCTCCACGCTGCAGCTCCCGGCCAGGGCGGAGCTCTGCTCCAGTCCCTGGAGGGTGATTCCCGGGCAGCCACCTGGGCTTGTTCTTGCAGTGAAGGGTCACACCATACTTTGTAGATGCCAAGTACGCACGTCTGCCTAGCACGATGGGCCTACAGTGAGGCCTGAGATCCAATTCTAGTGCTTCTGTTTCCTAGACGGTGGTTGGGAATGAGGTGTGGCCTTGGCCAAGGGATGGGAGTAGGGGCTGACGGGAGATTTCAGAGCCATTGGGGTTGGGGACAGGTGGGCGTGGGCTGGCAGAATTTGGTGGCATATAGAATAAAGCTGACACTCAGATTCCGACGTGGGCATCAGAACAGATGTCATACTGTGACCAGGGTTTACGGTGGGGGAAGGCTGGAGTCAAGCTTGGGGACCTCCTGGGGCATGGGTCAGGAGGCGGGATGTGGGCATCTTCTGGGGCGTCGCACGCTGATCCCAGGAAGGACTTGCTCAGTTGGCTGGTAGTTGCTGAGCTGGCTGCCCTTTCCCCGTGTGTCTCCCGCAGCAAAGGCCAGACTGGCTTGCGCTCTCTGAGATGACCGAGCAGCCGGACTACGACCTGGAGACCTTTGTGAACAAGGCAGAATCCGCCCTCGCCGAGCAGGCCCAGCAAACCAAACACTTCTCAGCCCTGCAAGGTGGGGCTGGCTGCATGGGCGCAGGGGTGGGGGCTCTGCTGGCTCATGGGCAACTGCAGGTGCCGGCAGCACTGCCCTGAGTGAGTGGGGGCCCTGGGGGACACCACTGACCCCAGTGGACAATGTCCTTCCCTTCCAGGTGTCATCAAGGCCCTGCGCCTGGCCATGCAGCGGGAAGAGCAGGCCAGCAAACAAATGAGCAGCAAGAAATGGCCCCAGTGAGGACTGCAAATAGAGATGTTTGTGTCACTCCCCGCCTTCCTCTTCCCCGACCGCCCCTGCCCAGTGCTGAGGGGCTTAGTCGGTCTGAGCGGGGCAGGCGTGGGTAAATGCCAAATCTATGGGCAGCTGTGGAAAGGATCGGCGCTGTGACAGGAGCCTCACCTTTGCTTCCCTGTGGCCTGCCCACTCCGCTCCTCGATTGTTCCCGGCGGGATGTAGCTCCTGGCACCTGTGTGGATGGACTTGCTTACCTGCTCCTGGCTGGGGCCCTGGGGCCCTTCCTCCTCCTCCTCCTCTGGAAGGGCAGCTTTCAGATGGAGGGCTTTGCCTGGGCAGCATTCTGTCTGTGGACTGGCTGCTACCAAGGGCTTACCGCTGTGTGCCTGACTCTGGGGAGAGAGCCTCCGACCTGCCTCTCACCGCCCTGGGCACTGATGCATCTTAGACTCAAAAAAAAATTTTTTCTGGGACCCATGTCTTCTGGTTTTTGAGGCCAACAGGATCCCTGCTGTTTCACTGTTTTTGTGTTTGTACATTGTGTTTTATAATAAAGAGGAAAGATCGGCCTCCTGGGCCCTGCCTGGTCCGCTCCTTTCCATGACGCCAGCTGGAACAAAGGCAGAGGAGGGAGGTTGGAAGCCCAACTTTGGAAGCCCCTGCAAGGTTGCATTTGGACTCCGCCTGCCACTGGAATCGCCTGGGGCGGCCTCTGCCATCTTTGAAATGGGGATAATACCAGTATCGAGTCGGTAGGAAAATTGAGTTCTCTAAACACCCAATGCCCATCTGTCAGTTATTTAGTGGTGGCTGGAGTTTTATTGTGATGCTTGAAGCTATGCCTCCAGTATTTCAGAAGGCCACCTGTGGCCAACATTAGGAAAAATGCTTGGTGGTCTTCAGAAAACTAGCCAGTGAAAAGACGGATCCCGACAGAACGTTGCCCAGTGGTGCTGCAAGCTGGGAAAGTGGCACAGCCCTGGACAACTTGTCATCGTGACCCACAGTCAGTCAGCTGACTGAACGGCAACAATACACAGCTATGAGTACAATGTCTTGCACGTGCAATATAAACGCTTGTCACTTAGGGGCCTACTACAAAAGGTTTTTATTGCATCCACTGCTGTATCCGCAGGGCCTGGAGTATCTGCTAGGCACACAATCCATTATTGAAGGATAGTACGACATCTGCTCACCGTTCTCCTTATTTGCCATTCCTTAAATATGCTAAGTGCTTTCTCACCTCGTGACCTTTGCCATAACAGCTTTATTGAGGTGTCTGCAGTAGTTCACACTGTAAGTCATCTCTGTAGAAGTACACCGTGTAGTGGGTTTAACTGGAGCTGTGCTGGAACCATCAGGACTCCCTCTTCTGGGACGTTTGTGTCATACCGCAAAGACGCCCTGTTCCCCTTAGCAGTCACCTCCAGGCCCTAGGCAGCCACTGTCCGGTGTGGACCTTTCACATGGTCTGGCCTTGTGTGCCGTCTTCACACCATCTTTTCGAGGCTCATCCACGGTGTGCTGTGCCAGTACTTCATTCCTCCTTAGGGCGAAATAGGAGGGGGTTGTGGGAAATTCCATACTCTTCATTCCACTTTCCCCCAAAACAATCATCTATCCAATTTTATTGATAGCCCATTAATCTTGATTGATTGTGGGTTCCCTGTTAATTCCCTGTAGGTGTGCCTGCTAATTCCCTGTAGGTGTGCCTGCGTTGTGCTCCGGTTTGCAGAGCTTTCTAACAAAGGGAACGTTGGTGGCAGCCCTGTCAAGCAAGTCCCATCAGCATGTGCTCACTTTGTGCCTGTCTCATTTCCAGTTTCCCCGGGGAGCCGTAGAGGCCCAGTGCTAAATGATGGGCTGCTGACCAAGGGGTCAGCAGTTTGAATCCACAGGAAAAAGAGGATGTCTCAGAAACCCCCCGGGCGGGGGGTGGGGGCAGTTCTACCCTGCCCTGGGCGGCCACTAGGAGTACAAATTGACTGAGCACCTGTGGGGAGTGTGCACTTTAATGGACTACCAGACCGCGATAACCACGCCCACTACAACAGTCCATTCTGACTCCTAGCAGTGCTGTCGGGGGCCTGGGACTGCCCCTTTAGGGCTTCTGAGCTGATGGGTTAGAACTCGCTGACCTTTCAGCTAACCACCCAGTGCTTCAGCCACTTGCCACCAGGAGGCCTCTACTACATTACCAAAGCCAAACAGCCAAACCACTGCCACAGAGTTGGGGAACAAACCATCTCCTCTTTCTTCTGCAGAGCAGGGGGGATTTGAACCACTGAACTTATAGCTATCAGTCCAACGCCTACCCAGCAGTGCCGCTGGGTGTGTTAATCTGGGATGACTAGAGAAACAAACTCGTGTGTATAAGAGAAAGTTTTATATAAAGGGTAAGTGTACATTAAGAAAGCATCCCAACCCAGTGCTGTCCAAGCCCATAAGTCTAACATTAGTCCATATGTCTGACACTGATCTACAAAGTCCTCCTCAATCTCACCAAACACAGACAATGACGCCGACTGCAGGAGGAATGCCGAATCAGTGAGTGTGTAAGCATCTCAGCGCTGGCAGGGGTCTCCACACCGCTGCTCCAGCACCCAGGGCTGCATTGGTGTAGATCCATGTGGCTTCTCAGGGATGTCTTGCAGGAAGTGAGCCTTGCCAGCTGAAGCAGGGAGCTGGCTAAGGCAGCTGCACCCTGGTCTGACCATCAAAGAACAAGAGAAAAAAAGGTGAGCCTCTCTGAGTCATTCTCTCTCCACCCTTCAATCAATCCCATATGTGTTCATTGCCCAGGTTGGCACAACGAACAACTATCACGCTGGGTTTCCCAGGGCACGGGAGAGCTATGTCAGTACAAACATAACTTTGATATGTACACCAAAAGCTCACTGCCAGAGTCTATTCTCTCATGGCAACCTTACAGGGTGGAGGAAGCCAGAACACTCCCAGGCAACATTCCGTGTGTCCCACTGGTCCCGAACAGCACCCACAGTATCCCCGAGGCACCTGCCTTACTTGTCAAATACGGCCGTGGCCTTGTGCAGTGGGGCACAAAGTGTGACCACCCTGTGAGGGTTGCCAGTTGACAGCCAACGGAGACACCCTTTCTGTCCCAGTGCTGATGTCAGAAACACTGTCCATCACCGGCCACTTCGTGCTGCACTGTCCACGTTCTTGTGCTTTTTGTGGTGGTTTTGATGTTTAAATGGGAAAGTGCTCTCTCCCTGATGCTCCTAAGTGCAAGAAGGACTCACTGAGCAAATAAATGTGTTAGATTTGTTTAATTGAAGCATGATTTAGAATGCCATTGACCATGAGTTCAGTGTTCACGAATCAACAATATATATTAAATAAAATCTCTTTAAACTGAAACACACCGAAAACAATTTACATATTGATCAACTGACACAATAAATGTGACCAGAAGCTGGTAGGAGCTTGACCTTGTATTTCTCCCTAGGAGCAGTGTGAGGGGAACCAGCCCCTTACAAATATGTAATCAAGGGTCCGGTAGGCACAATTGTACAGCTATAATATATAAAGATTATAGTAAAGTCATAGAGAATAAGAGAGATAAGAGAGCGCGTAGAATAAAGGAGTCAGACACATTTCATGGTAGCATGCTCACCCCAGCCCTTCTTGGTGGTCCACGTGGGGATGTGGGAGGAGGAGTGGGCAGGAGAGAGAGGGAGAGGGAGTGGGGAAGGAGGACAGGAGAGGGGACAGGGCTTGAGAAAGGGGCAGGAAAAGAGAGCGTATTTATTGTTTGGGGGCTTTTATAGGTAGCCATTAGTCATGCATATTCAGGAGTTACTGTACATCACAAGGTGGGTGGTAATCACAGTAAAGTCTCTGAGCTCACAGGTGAGGAAGCCTAACACGTACATTGGGGGAAGGCATGAGCGGGAGATGGGTGCCTCGATGGGAGGAGATGATTAGAGAATGTCTGCTCCTACAGGGAGACAGATCAACCATGAGCTCACTTTAAGGCAGCATAGCTGTTTGGGGAGAACCTGCAGGAGTGACATTGGTTAGTTTCCCACATCTTCTCAGTTTGAGTTATGCCATATTAGCAAATGAAGGTCCCAAAAGTCTTGCTTCATCCAGATCATTAAGGTCAACTCTACTTGGAGAGAATATTGGAAGGGACCTGTCAGAAGAGTAACCAGATCTGTCTTGGAGGAAGTAGAGCCGGCATGCTCCTAAGAAGTGAGGCTGGTGAGCCTTCGTCTCACATACTTTGGACATGTCATTAGGAGAGACCAGTTATTGGACAAGGATATTGCGCTTGGTAAAGTGGAGGGTCCTTGACAAAGAGGAAGATCCTGAGGAACGTGGACTTGCACAGTGGCCACACAATGGGCTGGAACACAATTGTCAGGGTGGCCCAGGACTGGCCAGCATTTTGTACACAGGGTGGCTATGAGTTGGCGCCAACTTGAGGACGCCTGACAACATCTATTTTGAGGAGGCAGCTCTTCCCTCGTTCTATTGTGAGGGTCTTCCTCCCCAGGGGCCATCTTCTGGGCCTCCATCAGATGAGGTTCTGCCGCAACTCATAATGTTGTCAGTAGCTAATGTTTCAGAGGGGCTCGGCCTCTCGTCCTTGGTCTGAAAGCTCTGCTGAAGCCCGATTACCCTGGGTGGTCTTTGAAATACCAGGTGGTCTAGCTTCCAGCATGACAGCAACACACCACCACCACAATCTGACCAAGGGGCAGATGAACAGTGACTTGCACTCTGATTGTGTACACACCCCAAGACTTGAAAGTAGATCCTCAAGGAGACGGCCATACCAGTGTTCACTGCAGCAGTGTTCACAATAACCAAAAGACTTCACTAACATAAGTGTTCGTCAACAGTTGGACAGACCAGCAAACTGTGATACACACGACAAATACTGCTCTGCCAGCAGAAGAAATGAAGTGTTGATACAGTGAGACTAGAGCTCAAAGACATGATGCTGAGTGAAATAAGTCAATCACTAAAGGACAGATAATCTATGACTTCACTTATATAAAAAGATAAGAAAAGGCAAATATAAAAATATCAAAGTTTATTAGTAGTTAGTAGGGTCAGTGTAGAGAAAGTGGGGCGGTGGAGGGTAGTGGTGATGGAAAAACTGCATGGATTATGGAATGGTAAACTTACAAACAGATTCTTGTAATTGCTGTCAAATAAGGCTTAAACCTGTAAGTTGAACAGGCAAAGGTTGTGTGATAGACATACAAGGGGGCTTCAAAAAGCTTGTGGGAAACTTCCATTCTTTTTAAATTTATTTTTTCCATGAACTTCTCAAAGCTTCCTCCTATTTATAACAAAAATGATACTCTGGTTTCTATTTAAATCATAAAAATCTTTCACCTTTTATAACAAAAATGATAAAGAGTAGGCACTGAAGCTACTTATGTACAACCACTTTGTGAGATTTGATTCCTTGGTTTGGAGGGTAGGGGTGTGGTTTCATGGGACATCCATACAGTCATTTGTTCTTAATTTTTTTGTTGTTCTTAATTTCTATTGGCACCAGTGTACAGAGCTATACAATTTTATCTACTCCCACTCTGTAATCCATGTGTCAGGTACAAGAGGTTGGGTTGATTCCAAGTTTAAGAATTTACAGGTGAGGGGTTAGTGAAGAGTTAAAGTTGAGAGAGCTGAAGGCAGGTCATGCAGACAGGATGGATCACTGGGTCTACATGGATAGATGAATGAGACCATGGCGTGTGTGTGTGTGTGTGTGTGTACCATCTCCTGCTGTAATATATCATCTCACTATTCCTGGATGCCATCCACTGAATTCCGACTCACAGGGGCTCTCTGGAGGGTTTCAGAGGCTATGGAGAGCTACAGTGAACCCTCGTTTATCGCGGTTAATCGGTTCTAGACCCTACAGTGATAAATGGAATTCCGCGAAGTAGGATTCCTTATTTGTAAGTCAAATATTTTCGTAGTTAGAGCATAGAGGACATGAAAAAACACCCTTTAGTCACCATTACACTCGTATTACCCAATTTATTAAACGAAAAAGGGAAAATACAGTAAAACATTTTGGACGTTACAATGATCATTTATTATTTATTATATTATTTATGGCATCTAGTTTACAGTATTACATATTTCACATACAGTATTATTATACATAGTTCTTACAAATACTGTAATCAGTAGCCTATGAAATGACTTAAGGGATGTACTCTACAGGTGGGTCGCCGTCTTTTTCCTCTGAAGGAGCGGGTGTAGGCAGTGGGTGCTGTTACGCAAAAACCGCGAGAGTGAAGCCGCGGAAGTCGAAGCGCGAAGTGGCGAGGGTTCACTGTATACGGAGCTTTGCTGGCTGAGCGGCGATTATGCAATCGGGCTGTGATTCAAAGGGGCAGTAATTTGATAGCGCCGGCCACTCCTCAGGAGAAAGGGCTTCTACTCTGTAAAGTTACTCTCTCCGAAACTCGAAATGCGTTCGAGCGAGCGGACAACCTCATCGTTCCCCCAAGAACAGCTGGGTGTTTTTGAACCGTTCACCTTGTGGATAGCAACCCAACGCTTACCCCTTTGTTAATATTAGGCCATCGGGAGGGAAAGAAGCTTGTTCGTTTGTTTTCAGGAAGGGAGCAGAGGAATTGCGTTTACGTTCATGGCGACGTGATGCTTTGGAAAAGGATAGAGATAATAATGGCACATGGAACCAACAGCCCTTCATTGTAACGTGGAAGTTGTGTTCGTGAATGTCTTAACCTTGACAAACGGAAAAAGCATCGAGACACTCGTCTCCACCCTTTCCCACAGCACGCCTTTCTCAGTAGGCGCCCTTAAAACGTAAATAAAACCACTCTGTTGTGCCCTGAATTCCTCCACGTCGCAGGAGCAGCCCACCCGGCCCTCGCCGAGGCCTACAGGGCGCGGCGGGCGGGCGCGGCGGCGGAAAGAGCTGCGTCGCCCAGAAGGCGCGCGTCGCCCGGCGCGCTCGTTACAACATCCGCGTGCGACCGTCGGGACGCGGCGCCCGGAAGTACGTCAGGGAGGCGGGGCTTCGTTTTACAAACTGGACCGTGAGGCTTTGCGGGGCCTCTTTCCAGCCAGCGCCGAGCGATGGGTGAGTTTCTCTTAGGGCTGCGGCCATGACGCAGGGGTGAGTTCAATCCGTCGCCATCCTGCCACGGGCCAAGTTGGGAGTGCGGGCGCCCGGAGCCCCGGCTACGAGCAGCCATGGGGCGGGCTGGCTCTCGGGTTTGGGCCGCTGAATTCTGCTCCGGGGGCTGCCAGGGCGCCGGCTCGCCGGCGGCACCAACATGGCTGTCGCGGGAAGGGAAAGCTTGGCCGGGCCGCACGTGCATGATGACACCTCGGTGATGCTGCAAGTCCCCGAGTGTGCGGTGGGGAAGCCAACCTTGGAGAACTGAGTGCGGCCCGCCCGGCGCGAGGGTTGGGGGACCGGGGAGGGTGGCACCGGCCTAGGGTCCCAGTAGCGTAAGCGTCTGCCCCTGCCCTCCCGTGTAGGCATCTCTCGGGACAACTGGCACAAGCGCCGCAAGACCGGGGGCAAGAGAAAGCCCTACCACAAGAAGCGGAAGTATGAGCTGGGGCGCCCGGCTGCCAACACGAAGGTGCGTGCGTGGGCCTCGGGACCGCAGAGGCGGCGCCCGGCGTGGTCCATGGGGCTCTGTAGTTGCTTAAGAGTGGTCTCTGCCCTCCCGCCCTTGCCTTGCTTTCTAATACAGGGGTGGGTTCTGGAAGGTAGGATTTGATGGGTGCTGGGAGGAGGAAGTGGTCCTTGCCTGGAAACAACGTTCACTGTTTGGAGGTAACTAGCGTGATGAAAACGTCACCTTAGGCGTGGTGGTGGCCGTCTTGGCCACTTGGATGCCACTTGCCAGTGTTAGGACTCGTCATAGTTACACTGACTGTGTTGCCTCCGCCCAACCCAGGTGCCCCTCCCGCGCTTCTGTTCCCCTGCCCCTTACCCTCGTGCTTGTCTCTCGCTTCCCAGATCGGCCCCCGCCGCATCCACACAGTTCGTGTGAGAGGAGGCAACAAGAAGTACAGGGCCCTGAGGCTGGACGTGGGGAACTTCTCCTGGGGCTCCGAGTGTGAGTACAGCCCTTCACCTCTAAACACCTCAGTGTCTTCGGCAGAAGGACCTTGAGGTTTCCCCACCCTGGTTTTCTCTATGCCAGTGGTTCTCCGCCTTCCTACTTCTGAGACCCTTCAATAGTTAACTCATGTTGGGAGGGGAAATGAACTGATGCCAAGGGCTCAAGTAGAAAGCAAGTGTTTTGAGAGTGATGATGGCAACAACTGTGCTTGACACGAAGGATGGGTGGATTGTGATCAGTTGTATGAGCCCCCAATAAAATTTTTTTTTTAAGTTACTCATGTGGTGGACACCCCCCCCAAAACATAAAATTGTTCTTGTTGCTATTTCATAGCTAATTTTACTACTGTTACGAACTGAGCGACCCCTGTGAAAGGGTCATTTGACCCCACACCCCTCCCCCAAAGGGGTTGTGACCCAAGGGTTGAGAACCACGTCTCTGAGCTCTATTCTGTAGCCCCAGTGACTAAATAAATCTGGAGGCTGATTGCTGAGCACCTTTGGTGAGAGGCATAGAAGGACAGCTGATGCCCTTTGGCTGAGTCAAGGGCCGGTGTCCCCATGGTTTTCCTCACTAATAGGACCACTGGGGTCAACCCTCCGAGCAGAAGAGCCTGCACAGCGTCGCGGGTGAGGCTCCTAGCACCTGGCTTGCATGGTGTGATTGTGGCTTTCTCCTGTGGGCAGGTTGTACCCGCAAAACAAGAATCATCGATGTTGTCTACAACGCGTCCAACAATGAGCTGGTCCGGACCAAGACGCTGGTGAAGAACTGCATCGTGCTCGTTGACAGCACGCCGTACCGCCAGTGGTACGAGTCTCACTATGCGCTGCCCCTGGGCCGGAAGAAGGGGGCTAAGCTAGTAAGTGTTTGGCAGGCTGTCTCTGGGAGGTACAGCATGGTTCTAGCCTTCTTGTGATGAGAACTCTGTCCAGTTCTGCTACTGAAGGGAGAGAGATGAGTCTTTAGTGCTGAGGAAGGCTGGGCTCGGGGTGCTCGGGGTTTGAGCTTCTCTCGGATGTCATTCCTTTCTTGGGGCTCCAACTAACTACTCAGCTGTATCCCTTTTATTCAGACTCCTGAAGAGGAAGAGACATTAAATAAGAAGCGGTCAAAGAAAATTCAGAAGAAATATGATGAACGGAAGAAGAACGCAAAAATCAGCAGTCTTCTGGAGGAGCAGTTCCAGCAGGGCAAGCTTCTCGGTGAGGTGGCCGCTGCGTGTGGGGGAGGGGGAAGGGGGCACAGAGTCTGTAGGCTAGAACTGGTCTGCCCTGGGCTCTACCATGTGGGAAGGGGTGGGGTCTGTATCCGGGTGAAGGGACTGTGCTGTCTCAATGATGAAACCTTTGTCCAGTTCTGCTACTGATTTGACTTGTTGATAAAGTATTGTCTGAGGAGACAGTGGATTTCAGGTAATGCTTGCCCTTCAGTGACCTGAGCTTCTAAGGAGATGGTTAGGTGAGGCCACTCTTTGTCATTTTGTTAAGAACCATGCATGCCCTTTCTCTTACAGCCTGTATTGCGTCAAGGCCAGGCCAGTGTGGCCGAGCAGATGGCTATGTGCTAGAGGGGAAGGAGCTGGAGTTTTATTTGAGGAAGATCAAAGCTCGAAAAGGCAAATAAATCTTCCCATCCTAGCACATGTATTAAAGGTGTTTATTCTATGTTTTGTATTCCTATTTGAATGTTTTGACTTTTTTCTCTGAAGGGACTGGATTGCGGGGGGGACGGGGACACGACTTGTACCTCCCAGCCTGACTTTCCATGAAGAAACATATCCCGTTAATGTGGGTTCACAAATGGATTGTAGATGGCCTGAAACCTTGATATTGTATTCCTGTTACTTGTTTTGATTTACACACGTTATGTGCACACATAGATGGCATGATCCTGTGGATTATGTAAGATTACTAGCGACAACTTCCAAGTCCCATTTAAACTGGTCTTCTATGCACTTAACACCTCCCATATCTGTGCTAAATATGTGAATTTTTAAGACTTGATGCAATGAAATGTTGATTGTAAAAAGTATAAAATCCATTTGGTTGGCGGAGTTTGTAAGAAAGGAAGCTAGATCATCTTTTGTTATTACACTTCCTTGACAACTACAACCTGGGTCGACCTTGGTCCGTCTTTATAGTTCATGTGTACTGAGAGCTGTATGTTGGCTGCTAACTGAAAGGTTAGTGGTTCTAGCCCGCCAGGCCTGGCATTCTGCTGAAAAATACATTAAGCTTTAATTCACCGCCATCAAGTCAGTGCCACTCACCCTAAACCTATAGGACAGGGCGGGGCTGGCCCTCTAATGAGTATTGGAGAGGAAAACCTAGTCTGTCCTTGGAAGCACCTGGTGGTTTCAAACTGCTGACCTGGCAGCCCAGCTGCCACACCACGGTTCAAAAGAGTGGGTGTGGGTGGCTTCTGACTACTTGCTGACAAGGAAATCCTAGGGTGCAGGTAAGGGTTGCTGTGAGTGGAAGACTAGTGGTGTGACTTCCATGACAGCAAAGCTGTAGCACCTAGTCCTTGTCTGCTGTGGAGTTGTACCTCCCTCCCATGGAGTCAGTACTGATTGGGCACAAGATAGAAAGCCCAGTCTTCTCCCAGGAGCTGCTGTCAAACCACTGCCGCCATGTTTTCTCCAGATTACCCTCAGACCTTTAGTAGGTGTGATCTTAGTTGTACTCGCCCTTCACTAGCCATGTGCATCTTAAAAAGGATCCATTCCCTTCTCTGTTTAGGATCCCTTAGTGGCTTTATTGTAAACTGGCCTTCCATTTTATACTGGTACCCATTTTCTCCCCAAAGCAAAACCTTTCCTGTCATAATTTTTTTAAATTTAATAGTTCTCTATATGGAATTTGTTAGATCTCTTAAAGATTTGGAAACTGGCTCAGGAAATGACCCAGTCTCCCATGGTCACCCGGTTAGAAATGTCCTGCCAGGATTAAGTCAGTTGATGAATGAGATTAGGTGCGTCCAGTCAGTTTGACCCATAGTGGCCCTAGCACAACAGAATGAACTGCCTGGTCCTGCACCCAAGCCCCACTTAACCTTTTTAGCTTCCTCTGACTTCCTTAGCAGACAGGAATCTTAACAGATCCCATTAAGCAATCTAGTGTTCTGCTGCAGGGTCTTCACAGGAGTGCTTGTAACTTCTTAACTGAGGTGTTCACAACGGATTCTAGTCAATCTCCAGAGCAGAATCCCAACCCCCTGCTACCTCTTCATCTTGCTGAATGCATGTTAATTCCATTTTAAGCAGCAGCAGCAACTACAAGTAACCTATTTCTTGGGGGGTGGGGAGGTGGAACATATGAAGCAAAAAAATCCCAACACATGGGCCATCCGTCCCTCAGCAGATGTAGCTAGTTACCAGGGCTGGTATATCCTTCCATACTGTTTTCCCCGAGATCACACCAATCACCAAGTTAACTGCTCTCTGGACAAGTCTGACGTGAATTCCACTCCTTTGGGCAACTTTTTTTTGGGGGGGTGGCAACCATTGTTGCCCTCACCCCAATTGTTCTTGCCGTACTAATACAAACTCATACCCCCCCCCCCCAGCTCCCTCTTGTCAATTAGAACAATAACCCAAACCCTGGGGCTGACCTGCGCTTACTACAGGCCAGAGTAGGATTGCCCCCCCAAGTTTCCAAGGCTGTATCCACATGGAATCGTTTTCCCATGGAGCGAGCAGCTGGCTTCTGAGCCACGGGAATTGTGGTTAGTCTAGGGCCTGACCGTTGCTCGCTGTGGGCAGCCCTGTTCAAAAGTGGGGGTGGGTGAGGTCCAGCCAGGATCATAATGCATCCTCGATGAAGACTTCTGCCCCACACACCTCCTACATGTGGTTCTTACTGTGGGTTCCAAACGGAAGCAGCAGCGTCACCTGGGAACTCATTAGAAATGCAGGCTCTTCAGGTGAGAAATGGAGTTGTGTCCAGCACTGTTACATCCCGCGGTGGTGCTTCACGTTTGGGAACCATAGGCCGAGATCCACAAAGCCCCTCACAGCCAAGGCATGGACAGTGTCCCTGGGCGCAGGCTTAGCTTCACCTTCGCTCCCACCAAACTGGACACTCCCAGCTCCGGCTCCGG